GTAAGCCATTTGCTAGTAAATCAGCATTTCTTACAGCAAACTCTCTCTGTTTTGTCAGCCATTACATCTAGGGAGTAAAATCTAATAATAAAAAAAAAAAGAACAAAACATGGAGCAGTTATGGCTGATGTCTCTGAAAAATTTATGCTGTTTTGAGTATAGGAACCAAACATCTGGGATTTTTTGGGTAGTGTCCAGTCCTAAAGCTTTGAGATGTACAGCAGAACATGCAAAACATCTGCCTTTTTACTGGATTCCTGGTATGTATAATAAAACACACTGATCAGTTGTAGTTTTCCCTTCTGTTCTTGACTTTTGGGGAAGGTTCAGCTCCTGAAAGCAGTGGCTAAGGAAAGTTTCAGTTTTATTTTCAGATTGTGATGGAATTTTCAGTATTATTAACCCTGACTACTTTAAGAAATAAAAGAAAAAAATTAAACAACCCTCCTCCTTAACATTAAAGATATCAAGGAATACCTTAAATGTTGGAGCAGTTTTATTTGCTTTCTGGTCTTGGCCTTTTGGGTGCAATCGTATCCTGCTTTCCAGCTTGTCTTCATGAATTCATAGATGTAGCAGCTCTTTCTGTATTATTATTTTAAATTTTTTAATGGCAGCTGAAATACGTTGATTCCAGCAACAGTTAATACGAAGAGACTTGCCAACTCTTGTATTTTTATGGCAGTATTGTGTTTCTGTGGGGCAAGTCTTTATTGCATTGCTCAAAGCTGCTTATAATTTTGAAAGGGAAGGCTAGCGCTGGAAGTAGCAAGGTGTGCAATTCCCAGAAAACAAAAATGGGGAGAGTAAAGGCAGGGTCTGTCAGAAGCAAGGAGGATTCCGAAGTAGTATCCCAAGGGGTTTTTCTTCTTTGTTTTATAACAAATGTTTTGAAAATTCTTACGGATTGAAACACTCTTGGATGCAAAGTACTTGAAATGATGTTGGCTGCTGGCAGCCCATTTCCACCAGGCTCCAATGGCTCAGGTGCTGGACAAACTAAAGACATACGAGCAGCACTTATTGTTGACGCTTCTTAAGGCCAAGGTGTGGAACAGTGTATGGATGCTCAAAGCAAGCAGTGCTATTCATAAAAACACAAATGTGGGTGATTTTTAAGTTCTTCTGATCTTTGCTGGCCGACTTACCTTTTTAACAGAGTTGCTTGTCTGATTGCCCGGATTGGTATTGGGGAGTACAGCCTTGCACACCTTCAGGTGTCATTGTTCCCAGCCTTGCTGGAGCCTGCCAGTGCCTTCAGCTCAGGTCTTAGTTTTTCAGCACCATTTTACTTGCTGACTCTTCTTTCAGAGTGTATAACTTATAGAAAATTGAGACATTTTAAATGGCAAGAGAGGATGGGTTATGATTCATAGGTGTTTGTTTTATAATAAAATATCCAAGCTTCTAGGCAGGTCCTTGAGATATTTGCTTTGCTGGTTTAGCTTTCAAGCCTGGAATGGAATGGTGGAAGGATAGAAATGCATGGTATCTATAGGTACAATTATGCTGAAGGTCTTTTGCTTTCTGCCTTCATCCCACAGATCCTATTTAGTTCTTATTTTCTGTATAGAAATAATCTTTCCATTTGATTAAAGGAAAAACTGAGCTTATAAAATTTGGCTATTACATTTTTTTGAATACTACTTGAATACAGAGGCTTTTATAGCACTGTAAATTTGAATTTTCTCATGCTTTTTGTTATCAGATGAGCTTGATAAGTTTGGTACCTGGTTTGATATCAGATTCTTAACCGTGATAGCAGAAGATCAAATCTGAGCATTTCCTCCCAGTATTAGGTTTTTAAATGTCTGTTGCTATCGTGGCATGGCAACCTGGTCCTGCTGGTGGTGTTGATTGGTCACTGAGGACTGCTGCCAAGTTTATATTCCCTGCCAGGTAGCTCATGCCTGTGCTGAGCCTTATCACAACCAAAGAATCTCAAAGAATCTGAATGGCTTGGGCAGGGATGGTATCGAGGCTACAAATTCAGCTCTTACTATAAAGTACTGAGCTCCATGTGCATCCTGGCTTCTGATGAGCGCTGTGGATGGAAAGCACTCGAGTTGGAGGGATTACGATGTGCGCATGTTGCCGTGCTGCGTAGACTCTGAACATCAGAAGATTGTCTCTGTGCCAGCTGTTTGATGCTGAAACTTTATCTTTTTGCTTAAAGGCTTTGTGATTAACGTGTGGCTTTGTTTGGGTGCTCAGTGTTTCTTGACATAGAGATACATGCCTGATCTGAAAAACTGAAACTAGGTGTTTAGATTTGAGTACTACTGAAATGTGAGGAATGTGCAAGATATTTAATTCTAAGTTTTGGTTTGGTCTATTTCTACTGCAATCTATTATTAAAACAAAAACCTAAACAAATCATGGCAAGAGGGAGTTCATTAGTTCACAAAATTGAGTTGGAAATGTTGACAAATATATTTGTGGTGTCCCAGTATGATTGCTCCATTTCTCTACTTGCAGCGCTTCTATATTGCAGCCTCACCTAATCCAAAGCACAGCATGACTCCTTCCTAGGACTAGTCCCTTCTACTATCTCTCTCCCTCCTCTTAAATCCCTTCAATCAGCTTTCAGTAAAATAGAAAATAGGTTTTATTGCTTATTAAAAGTTTTATAATGGAGGCCTGGCTTATCTTCCCTACCTTCTGTCACTGACAAACATGCATCAACAACTGCCAGATATTTGTCCAAAATTATAGATTGAAGCATTGTGGACTTTGTGCTTTCAGTAACTTTACTCTGCAACCTTAACAATCCTAGAAGAAGCTTCAAAAAACCCCAAACCTCCCAAATTAAGTAGTAGAAACAATCCCAACACCATAAATTTAGAAGTTATAGATCGCTATGGCAACTCAGAAATACTAAATGTGCGTGACTTGTGTTGTTTTTCATTTTTTACTAGCTTGGTGAATCTAAGGGGATAACTTTGCTATATTTCAGCTGCAGAATTTGACAATATTAATCTACAGTGTAATAGCCACTGTATGATATTTCTGTGGTTGTGTTGTGGATTTTTCAGATCACTGCACAGTGTTAAGCTGGTATACGGAAGTCATTTGAAATGCTGAAAATGAAATAACTGAAGGATCAGGTACTACATATGTCCTAATAGGATCCTGGGCCAGGGTCATCAGCCCAGAACCCTGCTACAAACACTGCATTGCTGTGTCACAGCCCATCTAGGCCAACCTCTGCTCTTTCGTTAGTGATCTCTCTGCACCTTTCACCGAAAAATCAAATTGTTGACAACTTCAGGTTCCTTACAGGTTTCCGTCTACATCCATGTACCTACTTTGAGAGTGCCCTGAATGCCAGCCCGTGCATGTTTTCACTTTCCTGATAACTTTCCTTTTCACGTCACAGATGAAGCCACACAAGTTGCAACCTTTCCAAACTGCTGTCTGCAATGTAAACTCAAGAGTTTTCTGTCTGATGCTACCTGCACTGTTCTCTTCAGCCAAAGGTGAAATAACGTGTTTGTCATGTTAAAGTTAGTTGGCCTGGAACATCTAGAACTTCTTTACAGTGGTTCAGTTCTCTCATGCTTCTTGCAGTGCTTATTTTTCCATTTGGTATAAACAATTCATTGCTCAGGCATGGTACTTTCTAGGTGCATTTTAGTTTCTGTTAACTTTAACACGTTATGGGTGATAAAGGGAGCATTAGGAACAGAATAACATAGCCTTCCCTTCTCCAGATCAAAAAAAAAAAAAAAAAAAAGTAAAATCCTTTAATGTGCAAGAAGGTCAGAGATACGCTATGTGAACTTTGTTAAACACATTTATTGAGTTCTTGACAGTAACCAAACACACTGAATGACCATTATAAACAAGAAAAAAGGCATTCGCTTTTACTTGGTCAGCTCCTGCTTTGTCTGTAAAGAAAATATATCCCTTTCCACCACCAATTTACAGGGCTGGATTTGTTTGTCCCGATAATGGATTCAGCAGGGAAAATGGCAATTTTAAACTGGGATATGTTTCAACTGCTTTCTGTTTCTGAGCCCAGCTCCTATTAAAGATGGACCATAAAGTGGAGTTAAAGTTATACTAGCTTTAAGTGCATTCCCAATTGCCATTAACTCACTTAAATTGGCTGCAAACAAATAAATGAAGTAAAAAAAAAAAAAAAAAAAAAAAAAAAAAAAGAAAAAGGAAGAAAAAAAAAAAGAAAAAAAAACCCCACAAATAACACAGCCAGAAGTAGTAGAGTAGTAGAGGCATATTATTTCAGAATGGAAAAAAATAAAAGCAAGTTTACTAAATTAATTTGTTAAACACATTTATTGAGTTGTTAATAGTAACCAACACAACGTATGACCTTTTGTAAAACAAGAAACAGAAAATGGTTCAATTCTGATTTTGGCAAATCCTACTACAGATATGTGACAAAGAGGGAAATATTTTAATTTCCTTTATATTCTGCAGTGATATATTTACAATACTTATCTCTCAAAGTCTGTCCCTTTTTTAATTAAATGAACAGAAAGATCATAACCTAGAAATAAGTTTCCTCTACAGTCGTCTTGTTCTGTCTTGTCAGTATCCCTTAATGATAGTGAAATAATGAGAGCTTTCCAAGGATTACTTGGCACACAGAACACAACTCCACTTTGATGCTGTACCGAGCCACCTTTTTTTTTTTTTTTTTTTTTTTATTTTGTTGAGGGAAGAGGGGAAAAGAGGAAGAATTTCATATGTACAAAGGCTGAAAAGTCTTTCTTTGTGAAGCTAAATTAGTTCAGGAAAACTGTATCAAAATTGTAATCACATTTACTGTAATGCTGTCTTTTTTTTTTTTTGTTACCACCAATCATATGAATGAATTTTTAGTTGAGTTTCCAACATGGCAGCTCTTTTCCTACAGCACATTTGCACATGCTGTTGCGAACCCAAAGAGAGCGAGGTTGGGTGCATTCTAGATTATGTCAATTCACAGTAGTAGCATTCCACTGAGGTTATGGGTTCTGCCTGCTCTGTCTTTCTTACTTGAGGAGCCATTCATTTACTGAAAGGAAAGAGAAACAAAACAAAAACAATTATGCTTTAATAAACTCCAAATATGAAACTGGCTGGATCTAACACTATATTAGGCACTTAAACAAAATGTCTGGAAAAAGCCAGGAGGTTTGGTTTCCTCTTCTTTCTGGAGAAGAACTAAGTCTGACTGTTTCTTTGAAGTATTGCAACTCTCTCATCAGCCTTGCTGCTGAAGATATGCTTGCTTTTCCACCCTTCAGAAGTACTCCTTCATAACCATAATATTACTGGTAAGAAGGCACTTATACACCATTATTGCAGGTAATATAATTGTGTGGGCACAGGCTAAAAGATGCATAAGACCCATTACAGCTCAGTTGTGAGCCCCCAGCTGTGGCAGTGTAAGACTCTACCAGCAGGAGACTGGCTTGGTTCATTTGTTTAATATCCATTGTGTAATACAAAACTCTCCAATTTGGGTGTTTGTTATGGCAGTGCACCTCCAAAGTGAAATTTATTCTTTTGATTGAGATTGGCTGTTGTTGAGACTAGCTCATCCCCCTTTTTCTTTCCAAGGTGGATAAAACAGAGCAAAATGCACTTTGTAAGGTGAGAAGACTTTAAAATGAGGCTAGAAAACTGAAGGCCTGTCCTATCTGCTTTTAAAAACCTATTCGGTGTCCCAGAGTGGTTTTTGTCATGCTTTTCCTGCATGTTTCTGGGCAAGTTTCCTCATCCATTTCAAATATGTAATGCTTGGCTCATACCATTAGTCCCCCAGATCTGGAGCTTCATCTGTTTTTATTTGTATGCTTTGTTACGCACTTGGGTTTCTCAAAGGAAAGAGCTCAGTGTAAGCATAGAAAAGATTATTCTGGAGGTAGAACGTACCTCTATACTGTAGTTTCTGTGCTCTATTGTTTGGACAATCTTTTCCCTGTAAACTAAAGTTGATATTAGTTCGGATACATCGATTGTTGAGAGGCTGGACTGGTCTGAAATTGTCGCTCATGCTCAGAAATATCTGTGATGGCTGATTCTGGCTTAGCAGTCGTAAAGAATGCATCTATACAAAATACAAAACAAGGATTTTTAGTACTGGTCTTTCCTGTAAGTAAACAACATACAACACTATTAAATAGACTACTTAATAAATGAAAGTTAAACAGGATTTCAGTGATTTGTAGTCAGAGGTGGGTTGAAAGAGTTAACTTGAAGTAAAATGGTTCCTTCTGTGGTCCTCTGTTTCTGAGCCCCATTTTAAACGGAAGTAACTAGTTTTGTGTGGAGTAAACGAAAATGGTATGAGGTGTCCTTGGCTGGTCGGGAAACAAATGGAATCCAGAGTACTGGATGGCAGCAGTTGGTGCAGAGAAAATGAACTTGATGAATGACAAGAGCTACTTTCCTAAGTTGTGTAGCTATTAGTGTAGCTTCCACTTGAGAAGACACAGCTTTGGATGATGGTACTCAAGAACCGGGTCAGGAGGGAAAGGATAACTGGCAGAGTCATGCTGCTGAAGTAATGAAGTTAATGATGTTAAAAAGCAAAATCCTCTTTCCATTGCCAGGTCTGTCTTGATACTGTCTGTGCTGTGTCTATAGTGTTCTTCTGGTAGACACTGGACATCTTTTGAAATGGTTTTATGGGTCAGCAGAGAGGGAATTACTGAATCATCCAGGATTTTCAGTGTACCCAGCAGTGGTTGGATGCAAACTACAAGCAGACAGCAATGATTCTTATGACGACTATGTGCCTGTGCTAAAAACATATTAATTGCTTCAAGTCAACCAAAACCTTTCAAACTTTGTATAGGAAACTGGAGAGAGAGAGAGAGAGAAAAAAAAAAGCTGCAACTTGTAAATCAGAAACCCTCAAAATATTTTGGTTTAAAATTATAAAAAGAAAATATTTTCCATGTCAGCATACAATTTAAGAGGTTTGTTTGTGACATTTAATGCTTAAATGGGGAAATCCAGTAGCTGGGTTTTACATACTGAAAATCTTTAACAGCTTCCAGGGAAAACTTGTGCATTACTTTTTTCAGTCTGATTACCCAATGTAATTAGTAAGTATGCCATGAAATCAATTTGCAGCACTAATAATGGAGGAGGTAACTAACGAATAAAGCATGGCAAGGAGTAAGTATCATGAGATTATAACCCATAGGTACTAGCAGACTCCAGAAATATTCTAATCTTTATTTTGTACATTAATGTTGTAACTAAAAATGTTGCTTGTAGGAAAATGTTCAGGTCTCGTGCTTGAAAAGTTCAAAATGTACAGCGTGTCTGCCTGTGCTCAGCTGTGTCATTCTCCCAAATTACCCATTTAGAAAAGAAACTAAGTGCTTTCTCTGCATCTAGACAAAATTGGACAGAAGGAATATCACAAAGATAAAACATCTCTCAGGCTTTTTAAAGTCATCTTATTTACAATGTTAATGTGATTTTTAAACCCCGAAGTAATATTTAGGGTTGTTTTATCATTCCTCATTTCATTTTTCAGGCCAGATTGCCCTGCTGCATGCTTGGGACAGGCAGATGGTGGTTCAAGCTATTCCTTCGGGATTCTAGTACGCAAGAGAATAGGTTTTAGTTGAGCTTGCAGCTCTGTAGGCAACTCACTGATGAAGGCTCTGAAGAAGACTGAAATTGGTGTTAAGTTTGTTGTTTTCTGATGTTAGGCCTTTGATGGTAAGAGAATCGTACAGAAACATAGTTTTTATGGCTTTTCCACTGGTGTATTTCCTCAACAGTATAATTTTAACTATGAAATTAATTGTGTTTTCTTTCACATAATTTATCCTACTTCTTTCTAATAGGGGCTTCAATTTTTCAATCTGATTTTTCTGAAGATATTTGCAATGTCTATCCTGTCATCTTATTTTATACCAGAAATCACTAGCTGATTCTTTTTCAAGAAGTCCCTATACATTGGATCTCTGTCACATTAATGTGGTATTGATGTGAATTTAAATGGCCACAAGTGTCATTTGCAATTTGTGTTTCTGTCTGACCTAAGAATGGCCTCTGTTATACTTAATAACCTCCGTTATTTTTGTTTTGGAACCCCATATATCTACTAACGGAATCATAGAATAATTTGGAAGACACCACTGGAAACCATTTGGTTCAAACCCTCACTGTAAGTAGGGCCCATCTCAAAGTATATATGTATGTGTATAGATACTTAGGGAGCTCTAAAATGTTAATATTTTTACTTTTGCAAAAAACTCTTAAATGCTTTTGCAAACTGTATAAATTGCAGGCAGAGATCCCTACAGCAAAATGTTGAATCTGATTTTGTATGTAAAGCTACAAATATATTTAAAGTATTATTTTCTGCCTATGCTAGATTGAGCCATTTTAAAATTTATTTTTACCTGCATCCTTGTTATGTAGACAGGTTTGTTCATTATTATCCAGCTTGCTGTTTCATAGCAGGGTGGAATTGTCATTGACCCATCATATGTAATGAAGCTAGATGTCTCTGGATAAAGTTCCTCAATATTAAGCCCCTGTAGTAAGTATGCATCATCTGGAGAATAAAGAAGGAAAACAACTGAGATAAAACAGTAGCTTCACAAAAAATAAAAATCCCCCCCTTTTTTATGTACAATCTTTATTCAGAACATCATTATCAGTTTTACCAAAATACAAAGTGTAACAAACATATGTTTTTGAATGCTCCAGCAGTTTGGACAAGAGCAAGTAACATGAATTCACTAATCCTGCTTGGGTTGAGTTCTACTCTTAGGTGTCCATGCACACCTTCTGTGAGTTTAGCACAAGCATTCACAGTGAAACTGAATCGTGTTTAAGAACTGGGGTTAAAGCTTCTTGGAGTTGCACTTAATAATTTAGATGCAGCAGCCTCTGGAGAATGTTGACTTACCATATTTTGGAGTGATTAACAATTTTTGCTCAATAAAACCTTGGGAAGGCCAGGAGTGTTAAAACTTAATTGCCCTTCTACCACAGGAGGAAGTTCAGGTTAATGTATGATAATAAAGCTGCTCAGTGAAGCCTGCTGGCCTTTCATGGGCACAGTGGGGGTGGATGCAGTGCAAGCTCACTCAGAATGCTAAAATTGAGGTGAAAAAGTGTGCCAGAAAGCAGCTGACTAGGGTATCTGCTTTTATTGTAAGTCTCCCTGGGAATTAGAGGTATCCCTCTGCAACAGAATTCACTCTGTGGACATGTACCAAAATATAATGAGATATGGTTATATCTTTCAAAATTCATCAAAGTTCCTCAACCTTTCCTATACTATGTGCGCTATTTCCCTTGTGTAAAGGCAGTGCTGTCAAAACTGGAGCTCAGATTTTCCTGCCAAATCTTAGGCTGTAGGAGTTCCTTAATAGGAAATATTTGGGGACATACACACTACTTCTTATACGCTACTGCTATCGTGTATCTCTGGGAAAGCTGGGCTGGTTACGAGCCATAATGTTGCGAAATCTCTTTGCATGCATTCACTTGCTTGTAGTGTGCTCAATATGGTTCATTTGCAGAGTGAGTGCTAGAATGCGGGCAAGGAAAGCCCGGTATTTGAAAGTCGTGCTTCCCCTTTCAACACGCAAGATGAACTGGCATGGATTTTAATGGAAGGCAAGGAAGACAGTACAAATAAAATAGAAGATACTGCTCAGACTAAAGAAAAATGTTGCAAGTGCACCTTTTAAGTTGGTGTCAGTAATTTAGGCATTTCTTTTGGATTCTTTGTTGTTCTTCATGTACTGTTCACTGTAAGTTTAAACAGATTTTGGTTTCATGTTGTTTTTATTTTATTAAGCTGATAAACAGTTCCTTGACCATCAGGAAAACATTGTAAATGGAACCGAGGAAAGAAATCTGAACTATCAAGGAAGCATGTAAGAACTGAAAAAACAAAGAGTAATTTAACTTGAATTTAACATATTATAGCTGAGGGACAAAACTTAGATGAGCAAAATGCTTGTCTCATACTATCTAATGGGGTGCAAAAAGAAAAGGATTGGATACTACTCTCTTGTGCAACAGAAAATCAAAGAACGCAGGCAAAGCAAATGTGACCTTTTTTTCATTTTGACATAGTGCATTCAACATGCTTCAGGCTTCTGGGGTAGCAATATTAGTGGGTAGAAATATCTGTTAAAGTGTCAAGGTGAGAGTGTAATGTTTATCCCACATTGGCCAGTGCCTTACAGTTATTTCATATTTTAAATGTGTTTATTATCTTACAAAAAATAATCTTGGCATGTCCTTTCAAGTTTGTCAGAAATACAGCCTTCTGCCATGTTCTTGCACTTTGAGTCAGGGTAATTGCCGTGCCATATAGCTGGATCCTCATGTAGAGGGGAAAGTACTATTAGTCTTGTAGGTGGCCGACTGTCACCTTTTTTAACATGCTCAGCCTTCACTGTCCCATGGCCTGGCATACAGAGTCTTTCTAAACCCAAAATTTTCCAGACAAAAGTGCAAACCCATTGCTGCAGTATTAGAGTCAAAATACTGTTAAATTTTGACAGCTAGAGACATCTGAGTACACCTGTGTCCTATTCATTAAAAACATTATTTGCAGTGCAGTGGTAATTTTGCTAGAATTACATGAGAAGAGAATGAATGCATTTTTTCAAGCCACTGCCTGTTTTCAATGAGTCATCGCACATTTTTCCCTTTCCCACATGAACATCCTGTTCATTATTTATGATCCATGGAGAATGTGTGTTAGCTCCAAATGGCACGGAGTCAGTCAGCACAGATAGTTTCAAACTCTAAGGACCAAATCTGCTTTGTCGCATACATATTGACTATGGTTGGGCTAAAATTATTTAAACAAGGTAGGATTTGCCCTGAAATGTTTTCTAGGAGATGAAAAGTTGACTAAAGATTAATACAGATGAGGGATATTGATGAGAGATATATATATATATATTTTGTGTGTGCCACATTCTAGTTGACTAATTTGTATTCAGAACAGGGCACAGATTATTAACAGTAGAACTACTTATCAAACGGAAGATACAGAAACAGATTTACTGCTGGCATTAGTGCAGGTAATTGTGGGGTTTTGGAGCTGCTTCACATTGCTTTAATAGCAAATGTAATTCATTATTTTGATATGGGCTTCTAACTTTTGTCTGGATTTACAGTGTTTAGTCATTCTCGGAATATAATAATGCTCTGGGGATGGAATATTGGCATGCAATACTGTGGGAGCAGTGTGGGGCACAATCCTCCTAATCATTCAGGCAAGTCCAATGTATGCCAGTGCTCTCAAGATTGGGAGAGATGCTCTTCTTCACCTTAATGAGCTTTGGATCAACTGCTAGGTTATCTTGTTTGCATACTGAGAACCTACAAAATGCATGGCCATTTCCCCCACCAGCACGCACCCAGCAGTGAAGTGGCTCCAAAACTGGTTTGTTGCCTCTATCTTCACTTGGAATATGTTGAAGGAAAGACAGGGAATTATACAAAGTGTCAAAATCCAACAGTTGTGATTAATGGGAAACTGAAGGAAAATACCACTTCAGGAAAAGGGGAAGATAAGATCGAAGGATCGAAGGAAATAAAAGAATTTGGCCAAGTAAACCCGGTATTTATTTATGCCTGTATATGGCTTATATTCCTGTGGGAAGTCAGATGACACCATGAGAATGGCCTGAGAAAAGACTACAGAATAGGCATTTGGTTATCAACATTTTTCCCATGGACAGTCTGCTGTTCTCCTTTCCCCACATCTTGAGAAGTTTGCCATTCTGGGACTGAAACAGAACTGATGGGCTTGCACTAATACTCGACTGCAACATTTTAATGCCTTAAATTTATTTGCAAGTGTGTAGTTCAGAATGGTCAAAATCACCATGTGCGATCTCTTGCCACTAACAAACTTCCTCTAATAAACGCATTCAGCATTTACTAGATCCTCAGCATCGTTCTGTTTATCTTGATCTGCTTGTGCCTTAGGGTGATTTCTGAACTCCTGAACTCCTCTCTATACAAATTAGATTTCAATAGATTTCATATTCATTTACATAAAGGCCTGGACTCTGACAATTTTCTTAGCAAATGATGGAAATCCTCTTCTTTTATTCCTAGATTTGTAACAGGTGTGTGGGGTCTGCTTTCACAGGAAATTCTATGCATGTTCTCTTTAAAACAATAGTATTTATAGGGAATATATTATTTACTGAATGAAGGAAGGTCTATTTGATTTTGCAGTTCATAACGCCGTAGTCCAAAAAGGGAAAGTACAGCTCTAACTAGATTAGGTTTACAGGGTAAGGAATGTGGAGATACTCAGTTTTTAATCCTGAAACAGAGTTTCTCCAGTTACCAGCCTTCAGAAGTCATTTAGACCCAGGCTGACAGAGACTCATTTTGAATACCCTTGGGGCCTGGTTTGAGATTCCTGCTTGTGACAGGAGCTGCAAGAGCTCAGTCTTTCAGAGAACACACTGGAACATGAACCCGGAGAAATGAGTAGTCTCTTATTTCCAGAAATCTGAATCTTAAGCTTTTTCAGGATAATATCTTAAAATTGGAATACTTGTACATTATCTATAAAATAGCTAAAGATTGAATTTGAGGAAATTCAGAATTTTACAGCTCTTCTGCCTAGCTAAACATGTGGCAGTGTTTTAGTAGAGAATGACAAGCCCAAATTTTTGCATGGAATTCTGGGAACCTAAAATGTTATTTCTTTCCAATGTTAAGCAAACACTAGGTGAAAGCTAACGTAGCATAACTGTTCTGAAAGAAAGCTAACTTATCCCCTCAAATGTTGTACTTAGAGGAATATTAAAGCAGTTTTTATTTAGAGATATTCATGTAACTTCTTTCTAAAGCCTGTTTGAAAGAACACTTGTTTCAACTAGTTCACAGTAGATTTTTTTGGTCTGTGATAACAGAATAAAATAAGCATTTAAAATCTGCTTAAAAATTCCTTGGGGTCCACTTTACTTCACTGTAGCCATTAATAAGTAAGAGTAGAAATTCCCCTTTTAATGTATTTTGCTCATGGAAATTTCACGCAGCAGTACAGATAGCTCTTAATTTTGTTGATGTTCTTTAAAAAAAGTACTTTAGTTATGTTACTAACTGTCCTGACCCTGAACCTATGCTCCACTTATCATTCGCTCCATGCTCCTATTGAGCACGCTGGGCCTGGTCATTTTGTCAGCAGCCTGCTGAGTATTGACTTCAGGAGCAGACCCCTAAAGCACAAGCTAAAAAACCCCAGCTGCTAAAGGCAGAATAGAAATCCTTGCAATGTAAGAGGTAAAATTAGTTTTCAGCAATGATGCTATAATCCATCACGCAAGACAACTGCAAAATTACTTTCAATAACTCTTTCACGTTCCCAATTTACACTAAAAAATTCCCAGTCAATACTTGTTACTACAGTAAGTAACCCAGTGCCCTGCAGAATATTATGTGCATTGTATCTATGACAGTTTTCATTTTAACAGATAAACTTGCTAGTGATAACAGTGGTTAAAAATTAAAACAGTTCCGTTACTCATTGATTTTTGCAGCCTCTGTTATGTATTCATCTTCATGCGAAATTTCATTTAGTAAATCCAAATTAGGTGTGATTAGAAGTGCATTTGACTTCTAAAGAGACAAAACAAGCAATGAAAGGTTGTAGGATGCCGTCAGCTCAAGCGGAGGAGTGCCCATTTGTAAGTGCAGTGTACAAATGAAATACTGGGAAGGTTTGCTTGCCTGCTGGTGCAGGCAATGGTTGTGTGCTCACTCATGCAACAAGGGAAGATGCTGCTGGTGCCTTCCTACCCTATGGAGCCCTATAGCCCTAGCCGTGGCCTCTCCTCTGAGCCACCACAAGTTGTCCACTCTTTGCTCTGCTGGACAGCTGCTGTAGCGTGTGGGACCACAAGGAGTACAAAAAAGGCTGCAATGCTTGTGTAGGTGTGTGATACAGCTGCTGTGGTAGGAAAAATGAGGCAGGTGTCTTCTCTTTTTCAGTGTGTGAGACCTGACAGGTCTGTGTACGGGGGGAAAAGCAGCTTCCTCGGTGGCACAGGCAGACACCTGGCTGGTCCCCTGGCAGAAGCCAGGAATATGTAATTTGGGAGTGAAAGAGCCTGAGAGAGCAGATACAGCCTGAACTGTAATTTGCTGTCCCCAGGATGCTGCAGCAGCACTGGTAGGCAGGCTCTTACAGAAGGGTATTGCTGTGTTTTTGCAAGGAATCAAGACGGGCAGTTTAAAAATTGGGCTAATCTGCTTCCATGCAGAGAAGACGACATTTCATACTGATAGAACAATCTGGAAAAAACATTCTGAGGGGAACCCTCTGTCACCTTCCTTTCTATAGGTATCACAGAGAATAGAGTTTTATTGTAACAGCAGTCTCTTATTTAGACCAAAGATGTAATAAGATTTGTTAACTGTAAGGCAAAATTAGAGCAATGTCAGCGGGAAGAAAGGTGTGTGTTATAGGAGAGGAGAAGGAACGATTTACTTCAGAATGGGTTTGGATTGGCTCCGTTGCTCAAAGTCTGTGTTGTATGGCAAGACTTGAAATCTTTCTAGCACTCACTCGTTCTGTTCAGGAATTAGTGGGTAAAATTCTGTGCCTTCATTTTACATTGGTCTCAAATCTACACTTTTTACAATCCTGGCTTTGCAGGGTGGGGGGAAAAGATGGAATCCATGGAAAGAAATCAGACTGTGTACTTTAGAGATGCGTATACAAATCTCTCTAAACCTTTCCATCATAAACCTGAAGTTCAGTGACTTTTGTCAAAGTTAAATGGACGTTTGAGATCTCTGGAGTTTCAGGTACAAAGTTTTCCAAGTAATGCTATGTTGTTGTAGAGTTCATAGTACAATATATTTAAATTACAGAGAGGTGAACTGAGGCAAACCCTCACAGAATTGTGAATCAAATCCTGCAGTCCTGACAACCAGCCTCATTCCAGTTATCATGAACAACTCTCTGCCAGTTTTCATAAACAAAAGCAAAATTAATGAAGAATTATGAAATTAATTGAATTAATAAAGTTTACAAAAAATGTTAAATTATTGTTTGCAGAATAACAAATGAAGGCTGAGTTTTACAATACTTATTTTTTTCAGCTTGCTGTATATTTTCTGAAAGTTAAATTCTAGTATCGTTTAATTTATTTTATTAACTTAATGGCTGCTTGGAATTCAAGTGAATATTTGACAAAGGGAATAAGGTTTTCAGGAGAAGAGGTTTAATTTACTCCATTGAGATATATGTATTTTTCATGACTTTCTCTAAACTAGCCTAATTTTCACTGACATTTAAGCTCCAGTTTTTCACAAGTTCAATATACTAGCATGGAATTATTATAGTAAAGGATTTCCAAATGTGAGTACAACAAATATACATGCTACGTTAACGATCTCTTTATATATCCATTACATGCAGCAACAGTTGAATAGAAATGTCATAACCTTTCTGTACAAAAGGAAAGCATTAATGAATGCTAAATCCACAGTTAATGATGCGGCATCTTGACATAACTTGATTTGATAAAATCCAGGCGGCTCCGCATGTTACTTTTATTGCTAACAGTAGGCAGTTTCTTCTGAGTATTCTCTGTGAATACAGTATATGTACTTGTCAAGTATAATTTCATTTATTTATTGCTTGTTCAAATGTAATACAGACTTCAGAGTTCAAAATTCATTTGATGAGCTGATGACCTTACTAGATGTTTCAGGTTCCCAAGTTTTATCATGCAGAGTTGCTGGCAATGCAAACTTTGTAATTTTTGCCCCAAATGAAGTGCCTCTTGTTTCAGTGGATTGCTAAATACGTTATTTGATACTAAATGCATACAGCTGTTAGCCATGGTAAATGAAAAGAGACTTACTTTTATATGTTATTCTTGTTATGGTGTCTCTGTTAAGCATACGATTTAGAAATGGATTTGATGATTCAGATACCTAGGGAAGAGAAAATGTACAATGTCAAAGTCTTCTCACAAACATTTTCTTTCTGGAAATTTAGCTGTTCCGTGTGTGCACGCACACACACACTCATTCTCCCTCTCCTGCCATTCCTCTAAATTGTTTCTGCCTCTTTTTGCCACTGTTCTAGGAAGAGGAAATTTTGGGTCATAATACAATACATTTTGGATGAAAAAAGGTAACCTAAACATCGTAAATATTAGCCCTGCATAAAAGGAAAATTTTCGTATCAATTACTTAATATGCTGTGAAATGCATATTTTAATTCTGAGGTTAATGCTTTGTCAGGAACTTTACCTTATGAAATGGGATTAGACAGTACTAAAGTGGAATTAATAGTTATCCAATATGCCAGGTCTGATGACGAAAGCTGTTTGTTTCAGCATGAAGCACTTATTCAGAAATACATGCTTTTTTAGGCTGATGAAACAGAGATACATAATGGCAGAATACGAACAACCTCTGGGGGGGAAATGCATTCTTCGTATAAAATGAGAGGAAAGGCTTCTCTAATGTAATTAGGGAGGTTTGAGTACACTATTAAGTCTTGAGTTCAGTGCTAGATCACTGGAATTTATAGACCTAACTATGCATCTTGAATGCAACAGGATGGAGACTAAAATATGACAAAATATTCACGTCTTTCTAGCTCTGTGAAATGGGAGATATTAAGAGTTAGACTTATAATGTTTCTTCAGTTTTGGATAGTTTAAGATGTAAATAAGATTGTGAGAAAAACTTATTTTGATGACTTTGAAACATAGACATGTCTCCAAAAGGCAAATATGCTCTCCTTCCCAGGGATGCAACCTGCTGGGAGAGATTTACTTTTAATTGAATGAATAACATTTCATGAAGAAATACCAAATCTGCACAAATAGTGACTTTTGTTATAGCCATTAAAGTGTTGCGAGTGATGTTTATGATGTAAGGATTTTTTTTCCCCTCCCTCCCTTTTGATTTTCCTTACGTTACATTGTAAATTCTTTGGAGTACAGATTGTGCGTTCAGTTCCTAGGGCGATGTTGTCTCTGGATTCCAGATCAGAGCCTTTAGGCATTGCTATGGTATAATGAGGAGTCTAATTTCCAGATTTACAGCTCATGGGAGAAGTCCGTTGTCTATATTAGATATTGATAATACTGAATACTTACTTTCATAAATATGGAAACTACCACCAACCCATTAGGACTCTTTGCAGCTTCTGTGACATTTGTGTACAGCTCATGGTTATAGTGGATTAGTTGAACCTAGAAAACAGGGAAGGGAAAGATCCCAATTAAACAGTAGCAAATCGTACCATACACTGTTTGCAAATACTCTCTATACACCAATTGGTTTGTATTAGGATCCCGTCTTTGCTTAGGATATTTTCTAACAGTGCAATTTTTCAGACGTTTACAGAATGCATGATTTTAATAATTTCAGTCACCATCTGGCTCCAACTGGCACCGCACCAGCATGTTTTCTTCTAAATTGCCAGTAACTGAATTTACCCACATCAAGTTATGAATTGCACTGCAGGGGTTGACATCATTTCCCTGTTGCAACAGCACTTGCCATGGGCATCAAGTAATCTGTACTTTTCAGCCTCGAGCCAAACACAGAGGAGTCAGGGGTTGAAATATTTGAAGAAACATATGGGATATAGGTTTGGAACTGTTTAAATCAGCACTCGCAGAATTCAGAATACTAATATTCATTGGCCCCAGCTTCTACAAACTCTGTTACAAAAGCTCCTACAGTTAAGCACTTACTGTATTATTGTTAACCAGGTTCTCCTTAGCTCCTACAGCTTTCCTTCTGCTTTTGAGTTTTATAATTTGCTGCAAGTTTTAAATTATGAAGGCACAGTTCATCTCTCTCCCTGTGTATGTAAATGTCTTACCCAGAGCAATGGTATTTGATCTGTCTGGGATCACTGGACACTGTTACCATTTATATTGCAATTTGTAGCCTCATTTTTTTATTTTTTTTTTAAAAAGATGAGCAACTTTAATGAACTCATGAGGGGGTTAGGTATTTCTAAGAATTTGAAAGGCTAGTTAGCTTTATTTAGCCTAAAGATACCCTTCTTAGTCTTCAAGTGTCAATTAGAAAAGTAAGGTCATGTTCTGGCATTTTCAGAATTGCAGCAACCTGATGTTTGTATTTAAAAATCAGGCGTGTCTTCCATGTGCTGGCATAAATCTAAAGGCTGTCCACTGAAATTTCTGGACTTACATACTGTGAACCACATCAGTATTAACCCGATCTATGTCTGGTAGTCTTTTTAACTGTGCAAATGGCCAAAGACTAATACTGGCAGTAAAGCAGCACATCATAGTATGCTTTCCATGCTTATAATCAGGAAAAACAAAACAAAACCAAAAACAAAACCAAAAAAACCCACCACCCCAAAAACCATTGAAATGGGGTTTAGTCCTGCATTGGTGACTGTCTTTTGGATGAATGCAATGTCTGGTGTTTCAGAAGTAAAATGCAATTGCAAGGATTCCTCTGAAAAATGACCTCCCTATATGATCTGCAGTGCGTGGTCGAGTTACAAAGGCAAAGCCTTGCTTTGCCATCCAAATATGTATGTCCACCACCGTGTGCACTAGTAGTGACCTGAATTATAACAGCATCCCAGTTGATGGGTAACCTACGCCATTAATATCTCAGTCTAAGATAAGTTGAGAAATAAATGATGTGTCCAAACTCTGGGAGTGTTCAGGCAGTTCACTTCCTACACTCTACCCTGACTGCAAAATGTATTTGTCTTATAAGTAAATTACTTGGAATCAGATCTTAGGAGTTTTCCTAATACAAAAATCCACCAAGAATTGTCCTCCCACCACCCCCTGAATTCCTTAGCGATGCTTGGACATTGATGTAAAAAGCGGGTGGTAGTGGAAAGAGAATATTTGCATTAGTAAGATTAGAAGATCTCTGGCACATAGCTTACTATTTACAGCTAATGGTTCACAGGCCCAAAAAAATAAGGTAAGGGTCCAAATTACTGCTATAATGTGTTAATTTCAGTTACTTTTGTCCTGTCTGGATTGAGAACTATTGGTTGACCTTTTTACAATTCACACAGTAGGCATTTTTTAAGGCAAGCAAACAAACCAAACTGGAACGAAAAAGTAAAAATGTCAAAGTAGCCAATGAAGTCATCTACTAAATTCTGACAGCTAGGAAGCAGGACGAATGCTCTATGTTTTCTAAAGGTCTTGTAAAGAATTAATGAGAGCATTTACTCCACAGCACACAGAGGTTACAGGCTCGTTAGTCATCGCTTTGTGGTACTACTGAACCTTGATAACATCATGGTTCTGGGGACTGTGCACTCACAGAAATTTTTAGGCTTAGTAACATTCTTTTTTTATGTTCAGCTATTCACTCTGGCAGCCAAACTAACTTGTGAATTATCAAGGAAACAAGTGATGAAATCTGCTTTAAACTAAATTCCTTCTGTACAAAGTCCCAGAATAACAATGAATTAGGTTAACTTAGTTTATCTAACAACCCAAAATGTCTTATGCTAGAATGGGTAGAAGTAAGGACCAAATTCTCCTTCTACCCATGAAAGCCCTGAGTCAATGTCAAACTCTAATTTTTACTGATAGCGCTTATGGAAATAAAAGCCCTGAAGTATATGAGACCACATACAGGATATTTGTCTCACTCACTGCAAGGATGTCCAATACAGCTCTAGTCTTGTGTAACACATTATATTGTAGTGACTGGTGTGGGCCTCGGCAGGCAATAGTGTCCTGGCTGTGTTGGAGGCCTCCCTCAATGTCAGGAAGAGGCACAATTCACTCTGCAAAGCTCACACCCAGCCTGCAGGCAGTCAAGAGGTATTTGTGGGAATGAGTTAACAGACTGATTAGAAATCAGAATAGTTATTGCCATTGCTGATCTACAAGTGACCTCACCACCTCGTATTGCACTGTCTTTAAAATAAAAGTACTTGCTTGAGGACTTTGGCATTCTTTACCAATGCTTTCAAGCAGTTTTCATTTCAAGTTTCCCATTCCTGCAGGTTTGTATGCCTCTGCCCCATGGCGCCTCTCCTTATCACATCTCAGTTTGGTGATGAACCGTTTTGGAGCGTGTCCTTGAGAAATCTTGCTTCGCTATAGTTTGAAAAGATCCCCTTGCCTTGCAATGCATTATTATTTCTCAAAGATCCTACTGCTAAATGAAGACATTTTTTCTTCTGAAACCTGTCACTTGCCCTGTTAGAGTTGTATCCTTCCTCCCTGCACCCAAATTAATTTTAAAGCTGTTTCCATGGTACCATGTTAAATTCATTAAGTTTTTCTTCTTTTAAAAAAAGATTGACCATGTAAAGAGACATAATTTTCAGAGTTTCTCATATGGAACAGACTAATTTAGAAAGGTACAAATGAATAAAGATGACTTAGATATAGGATATTACATGCAGGATAAAAAAATATAATTCCCTATTAAATTCCTTCTTTTGAGAACAATTTATTTAAAGTTGCCCGAAATACCTGCAATTTTACAGTCTGTATTACATATTACTAGAGTCTTCCACGAAGGGTGAAGCCATGCATAACTAAAACTGCTCATATGTGAAAATCTCACTTTTTCACATGATGAAATTGTATTAAAAACAAAGCACAAGAGCAAACTTGCAATGCTGAAAGTACCCTTTGATTCTAGTTTGAGTTTTAGGGCTTAAACACAATACACGAATCCTGTTATAAGCTATTGATTTTCTTTGGAAGATTCCCCCTTTAAGATTAATTTGCCACAGAACAACTGATAGCTCTTTGTTTTCCTCGAGCTATAGAAGTTCTATTTTTCAGGGAGAAGAGGAGAATTAAGATTAATTACTCTCTTTTAGCTGATGAAAATCCAGAATGTGCCCCTGTTCCATCACCCAAGAATGTGCATCGGACCAGGAGCAGACACAGCACTTTTTAGACACCTGAGGTTGGGGTGTTGGGAATGTCAGTAGGAGCTGACGACTGCACTTTAGGGGTAATCTATTGAGCACACCTTCCTCAGCCTGGTAGGCTGTGTCTTTGGGGCAAAATAATACAGAATGGCTGATGATATGGCTCATGTTCTGGCCACTGTGGGGAAAACATCTAATTCCCTTTCCCAACACATGTGCCTGTGTGTTTATAATGGTAATAACCTGTTCTTTGCCTGTACTTTGATAAAGTTCAGTCCTGTACTCATAGTACTCATATTGTTTGTACTGGTTTTCTTCCACAATGCATTTTGATGTTTTTCTTGATCCTTCTCCCAGGTAAAACATGCGTCTTTTGGCAGAGCTAGTAGCAGGATATTTTTTGTGGGGCATTTGACCAAGGCTCTTTGGCTAAGCAAAAGGAGGCAGTTTGCGGTGTCAATGCTTGTGGGTGCCAAAAATTCCGGGGATTCCTTTCAGCAATCTTTTAGCAATTATTTAACTTGGACAAAGACCCTTTGTGAATTACAGAGCTCTGATCTAGTGTGCCTGCATAGCTCCTTTATAAATGTTAGATCACTCTGAGATGTTCTGCTGCAGTGAGACATTGTAGAAATATGAAACTGAGGGAATTCAGAGTATCACGGTCCTTTACACACAAATGTTTCGATAGTCCTCTTGGGAGTAATGGAATACCTTTTATTCTCACTTGGAAGTGTTATAATTGAGTGCATAAACATTTTGATTTGTAAATGACAAGGGATCTAAACCACAAAGTGAATGGCAGCAGGGAACAGCTAATCTGTAACTACAATATTTGTATTATGCTGTGCTACCTGATAAACTGTTGGGTGGGATACTCGATTGAGAGCAAGCACAAAGCATGTTTCCAGCACAGCAGGGAACAAAAGCAAATGAAATTGCTCAAGACGACAAGTTAAACACTTGTTTTGATTCAGAGTCCTTGTAAAAAGTGGCTAAGGAAAAAAAAATTAAACTTTGGATAAACAAAAACATATAATAAAACCAGCAAAAGACATGTAATTTCTGCATGACAGGTGTCCAGTGAGGAAAATAATTTTAAGGAGTTAAAACCTATTAATAATAACAGTTGATATTCCAGTGTTAAAATATAGTTGCTCTTACAGGTCTTGTAAAACCCTTTGGAAAGAGCAGTAATGTCATATCACCTAGGAGTTATTTATGGTATTAATTTCATGGATCTGAACAGGTATGAGATCTGAGGTCCTTGCTTTGTGAAAGAAATGAGGTTTTTTTTAAATGTCCCCTTGTTCTAGGATGTGTAACTTGTGTGGC